ATGCAACACTTAGTAATACGGCAACAACAACTCTTAAAATAAAAATACATCTATCAAGCTACTAAGCGATTTCTACCGACTAAGGTGCTACGTTACCTACTGTTACCACTAACAAGTATGAAGCATGACATATATTATCTTAGCAACTAAAGGCATTCTTACTCTTAATACCGATTTACTCTATATAAGATAAAACAAGAAGTACTAGCTACTCTATTTATCAACCTACTCTAGGGCTACAAAAATTACAGTGAGTACATAATAATCTAATGAACCTTCTGTAAAAATCTCATGGCTAAAGCTATCATCAATTTGCCACAAAAATTACTACAAATAGTAAGCTAAATAATAGTAAGCTTTCTAAATTGAATTTATGAACCTATCATTATCACAGCTAACTGTAAACTAACTACACCACCAGATAGATAGCATTTTTGTGAACCTAACAAATTTTGTTTCACTATTTTTGGACATATATAGAATTTACTATAATTTTTCAAAGTTCAGCTTAAAACTAAATTGAATAAACCTTTACTAATTCACTGGAAAATGAAAAACCTAAATCTACCACATGGCCCAAAGCGCGAGTGGCTCGGCCCACTCTGGCACAACGTGCGCGAGCACGCGACGCATGGCGCGGCCTAATCCGCGCGACGACGGCCCGCGACGAGGAGGACCCACGCGTGTCGGTCATGTTGCGAAAACGCCCTCGGCCTATCTGATAATCACGTGAGCACTAAGAGCACTATTCTAGCAGTCTACTATCCTACAACTATGCCCCTCCCCCTTTCCATCTTTACCACGGCCATACCCTCGGGCCTCCCCGCGCGCGTACTGGCGCGGCGGCGCTGGCACCGGGCAGTTACACCGGCCAGACTAGCCCCTCCCTGCCCTATCTAAGGAGCCGATATCTACCTAGGGGCGAGCGCGAGACGTTGAGCGAAGAAAGCATGAGCCGGGACACCGTAGTAAGGCCGGACCACGGTGGCAGAGCTCCTGCAAAAAGGCGGTGGCGTTCCGGTGAGTTACAATAGCGCCGGGGTAAATAGGGTAGCGAGTGAGCTCCAGGCACTCACCACAGAACCAAATCGAGGCGGTGGTTCGACCGGAGGCAGCCCGAGCCAAGCTGGCCACGTGCGCACGAACGGTGCAATGGTGCATGGCGGTGGCAAGGCCGCATCAGGGGTGGCTAGAGGGTGGCAGCAACTAGGCAAGGGTGCGTAGGGTGATGAGTAGGTGGAGGCGAAGTTGGCGGTGCAATGAATTGAACGCGAGCAGCTGTGGAGAGGGGGCTTGCCATCGACGCATACCGACACGGTCTTATTGACTCAGCGGGAAGGAAGCTCCAAATTGGAGCACGACACGGCAAGGCTCACTGCAAGCTGGGGTCGGGTGGTTGGCTGACTACATGACGAAGCCGCGGGCAAAGTTAATTGGACCGAGGTGTCTTCATTGACCCAAATTGAAAGTGCGGGTCCGGCGACCATGGCGATAGAGGAACAGGGGACGGGAGGCATGGCTTGGCCCGTCGCTGCCGTGGCGGGACGTGGCAGTCAACTCGGTGCACAATCGCGCACGGGCTATAGGGCGATGGGGAAATGGCCAAACACGATCAGAATTGGTTGGCCGCATTGCCATAACTCGCAAGCCGACGGCGGCGACTCGGCCCTTTGCGCCGCAGTGGCATGGCGCCGGTCCGAGAGAGGTAGCTGCGCAGCGTCGCATCGAGCACGATGTGATGGCAAGGGCAGGCGGGCAAGCCCATGCGCGTGCAGCCATGAAGGGTCAGCAGCAGCAGTGGTCGTGCGAGCGGCGGTCGGAGCGCAGCGCGACTGGGGACGTAGCTCAACGCGACGGCGAGCAGAGTAGCTCAGGCGGACGCGATGACGGGCATCAGCGGCACCACGCGACAGCAGCCTAGGCTGGCCAAGCCATAGGTCAGCCATGGCCAGACCGAAGACGGCCATGCGCAGGCGAGTACGAGGAGGCAACGCGGCCCAGGCAGACACGACGGTGGTGGCAGAGTGGCCAGGCTCGCTGGGCCCCAGCGTGCGCGTGTGGGCGCTAGTCGTGTGCTAGGGCGCGGCAACGGTGGTGCGGCCCTAGTGGGCGCGTGCGTGTTTGCTTGCGGCGACGCCGGCCAAGTCACGGTGACCGCAGCCAAACGCTGCAACCGTTCGGAAACGTGTCTTGCACGCTTTTTAAAGCGTCCCAAAAATCCATCTCAATGCTTCAATTGCTAAACCAACTATTTAACACTCGAGATGGCATGTTAGGCCACTAAAACAAGCCCTAAGACCATACCACTACCGAACCCGATTGTCCTATAAAAATTCCCAAACTTAGCCTCGTCACACCGTTTTCTAACTTAAGAAATTTGGCTAAGCCTTGATCTGTTTCGCGTCGAATGCGATTTCCAAGCTATTAAGTAAGCTAGCTAGTGAATCTCGTTCTCGGCTGCAAGTATTTCACCGCCACCTATGAAGTTTGTACCATAAACTTTATTAAAGTTTCGTATATGCGTTCTATAGCATTTTCGTCGAATAAAAATTCGTTTAGAACCCTAAGTGATATAACGCGACATGAAATATAACCTTCGTTTCGTGTTTCTAATGAACGTTTCAAGTTACGTGCATTGCTTTATAACCTATATTACACACATTTACACACAAATATGATGCTCATGCAGTGTTTTAGCAAAAGACTGTATAGTGTAACACCGAGGGTGTTACAGTCAAGCACTTAGTAGGATAGACCAATGCGGAGAACTAGAGGCACACCAAGGAACGGCGACGGGCATATCCGGCGAGAAGAATGAAGGATCGAGAGAAGGTGCGGTGATAGGGGCACAACAACGACGCTTTCAAGAAGGAAACCCGAGCGGCACAGGGACCCGTGCGTCCTTTGGCCCTTGGTGGAGGCCAGCGTGCGTGCACATCTGCACCAGGCGCGCTCACCCCGACGCGCTGCTCCTCTCAGCGACAGCCGGCCCCACACAGTGCACCACGCAGGAGACAGCGCGATGACTCGCCCTGTAGGTCGCAGTGCTCGCCGAGCACCTGCGTCTCTGCACCCTATGGTAGAGGCCCACCGGACGCGTGTCATTAAAACTTAAGTGTTTAAATTCAGGGGCTAAAGTTTAGAGGTGTCATATTGGATGTCACATGGGAGTGCTCGGATAGTAATAATAAAACAAATTACACAAGTCAGCAGTAATCCGCGAGACGAATTTATTAGGCTTAATTAATCCGTCATTAGCATATGTTTACTGTAACAACACATTGTCAAATCATAGATTAATTTGGCTTACAAAATTTATCTCGCAAATTAGTCTCAATCTGTGCATTTAGTTTCATAATTAGTCTATATTTAATACTCTATGTATATGTCTAAACATCCGATGTGATACGAACTAAAATTTAGGAGAGAAAAACCAAGAAGGCCAGGGGCTAACCTGGAGAGCCTATCTATCTAAGCTAGGGGCTATGATAAAGGACAGCCCCTTAGTTCCTACCACAGTCCATATGTGGCACTCCTCAGAAGCAAGAGTGAGGGGCGTGGAGATCTTCTGTTTGCAAATACTCCAGGTGCCCAGGATGACATAGGAGATTCTAGGTTCACAGGAAAATAGTAATACTACATATTTTAAAAGAGAAATGGCCATGGCATTAGAAACAAATAACATATGGTGAAAATGAATTTTTCAAACGATGGAACCAAAGAATGATAACCATAGAACAAGCCGTATATATAAAGAAACAATAAGTAAAATAAAAAAATAATTTTAAAACAGGAAGAGTAAGAAGTATAAAAGAGAAGAGAAATATTCTATATTGAAAAAATGTACCAATATGCCAACTTAATGAGAAAACTATTCCTGCTTAAAAGAAAACATGTTCTCTTTTGAGAATGGGAAAATGTTCCAAACTTGGCTAGAAATTGTTTTAAAGTTCGGAACAATCCCAAAGTTCACAACAAAAAACTTAGATGATTAATACACACCTAAGTATTTTAGAAATAAAAAATAATATAAATAAATAAATAGTAAAAGGGCAAAGGTACATGTGAAAAAATAAAAAAGAAATAAATTTAGCATCAATAATAAATAATGAAAAAAAAACAAACAAAGACAAATCGTCATGGGCCAGAAATTCCTCATGGCGTCGGCGAGCGGCGATGACTTGGGCCAGAAAAAATGGCCCAGCAACGACACCCGCGGAGGAAATGCCTTCGGCGACAGATCAACGCTGCCCTCGACGCGCAATGGGACCTTAAACTGCGGCGGTGCCGGCGCCGGCGCCGGCGCGTGATGGTGCGGCCCGCACTCGCCCGCCGCATGGCTATCCGATGAGGTGACAACGACGACGCCCCCTCCGCCGTGAACGGACCCGGTGGCCTGGCTCCGGGCCGTCTGACAGGCCAGCTCTCGCGGGGCAGGATGAGCTTCCGATCCCTCTACCAGGTCTCCCTCTCAACTCTCATACTTCACACGGCCCGACTCAGTCTGCCTTCATAAAATACTTCTCTGAGCATTTTTTTTCTTGCCCTTTTCTCTCCAGACTCAGTTCCAAATTTCCAGTCAATCAAGTGCTCGACGAAATGCTATAGTCAAGGCTTTCATGGATGTCTCATGTAGATGATTGGCTTGGACTCATTGATCACGGCAAACATGCTACAGCCTACGTACATGGCACCGAGGAGAGGAGAGCCTGTGGTCGGCTCGACGATCATCCAGGTGATCTGATATATTTCTTGTCACTGGTATGGTATCAACCTATTCCGTGTTCTCACTAACTAAACAGATTATTAATCTTACATACCATGACTGTACTATTATCTAAGAGTACATACTATTACTAGCTAGTAAACGAACCAACTGTGGTAGCAACAAAGAATACATATATTACTAGAAAAAGTCACACACAGTACAGCACGATAAAGCACGTGCAGATGTATTGTGTGGTTTCCTCAGTAGAGCTCAGCTGCGGATCAAGTCATGTTCAGAGTGATAAACGGAGACGGCCACCGGCGAAGATCTTCTTCCTTCTGGGATAACTGGTGAATCTGCCGCGTTCTTGTTCGGAAGAGATGTGTTCCCTGCTGCTCGCCGTCATCTCAACCATGAATGTCGAGGTTGTGTTGAAGTTACTAGTCGACATGCTAGAATCAGAGGTCGATGACGATGACTCCCACCCTCCTGGTGGCCACACGAGCGGTGGCTTCAAAAGAGGGATGTCCGGTGGCGGTACTGACTTGCTGATGATCTGCACCGCATCCACCATGCTTGGCCGGTCGGATGGGTTTGAGCTGCTGCACGCCATGCCAAGCTGGAGTAGTCGTATGGCCTCATCGGCATCGAATTCAGCGGAGGTGGTGAGCACAGCATCAACAGCGGCAAGTAGGTTGCCCTCTGCATGAAATTTCCATACCCAGTCTATAACATGTCCAAACTGCACATCTCTGCCAACTGCCCTCTTTCCTGTAACAATCTCAAGTACGAGCACTCCAAAGGCAAATATGTCCGTCTTCCTGCTGGCCCTACCGCTGTACATACTCAGGCGCTCTGAGCCAAGGGTTCCAGGGGCGCCGTGGTCGGTGTAGGAGTCCTTGCCATCGGCCAATACGCAGGCGAGCCCAAAGTCCCCAAGGCGTCCTTGGAAGGTAAAATCGATCATGATGTTGCTCGCCTTGATGTCACGGTGGAGCACCATAGGCTCATATTCATGGTGAACGTACTGTAGCCCGCTCGCAATGTCCTTGACGAGGTTGTAGCGAGTGGCCCACTGGCTAATACAAGTTGCTTGCTGCCCATCGCTGCTCCTACGGAAGAGATGTTGGTCTAGGCTACCATTGGGCATGTACTCAGAGATAAGAATGTGCTCTCCTCTGTTGTAAGACCATCCTAATTATTTGCAATCGAGAAAAAAAACATTAGATGCTTTTTTTTTTTTAGAAATTTGGATCTGGTTTAATAGCTACTCCCTTTGTTCTAAATTATAAATCATTTGATTTTTCTAGGCACATAGATTTTTTTATTTATCTAAATATATATACACTATGTCTATCTACATAACAGAAGCTGTATACCTAGAAAAGGCATACGACTTATAATTTGGAATAAAGGTTGTATCTTTTTTCAGTCATGACAAGAAAAGTAGAACATATTATCAGTTTATCACATAGAAGGATATATAGCACAATGAAAGCAACCTTACCGACGAGCGGAACGATATTTTTGTGACGCAGGCGGTTGATGATGCTGACCTCGGCAAGGAAGTCTTCATAGCCCAGATTATCAGCCCGAGTGAACTTCTTGATGGCAACATCCATGAGCTTTCCCTTGTTTGGTGCAGGAAGCCTGCATCTGTAAACAGCACCGAATCCACCTTGCCCCAGCCTCATGGTCTCGTGGAAGCTGTTGGTGGCCTTCTTGATGTCAGCGAAGTCGACCTGCATAGGCACACCGGGGAGGCTCTGCATGGTCTTGGTGAGCTTGTCAAGGTCTTTCTTCCACCTCCTGTACTTTGAGTTCAAGTAGAAGTAGACAGCAGCAGCAATGGTGGCCGTGGCAGCTGCTGATCCGAAGACCGAAGACACTATGGTGGCAATATTTGGCCCTCTTGACTGTTCAGTCACCTGGACCTTGATGGTGAAGTTCCAGTTGTGGAGTTCCAAGAGCTGCCCCATCGAGGATGTAATGGCGAAGAGTAAGGCATCTGGAGTCAGGGTGTCTGTGGCATTGAGCTGTGTGGTGGCGGCTGTTGTCCCTACATCTGCATCACGCACTAGGTAGACAGAGAGGTTGCGCGCACTACGATCGTAATTGATGCGCATGCTATATGTCGATATACTAGAGCTAAAGGTGGCTGTAACCCGGATACCTTTTCCAGATTGAGATGTGATGTTCAATGTATCGGTGAAATTCTGGAAAAAATTCCTCCTGGTAGGGGGTGGATGAGCAGTCCCTCTGTCATCAGGTGGTTCAAGTGTGGGAAGGATGTCAAACAAAAACGGGTCGATGGTGCTTACTGCGCTCAGGGTGAAGACGATGCTGAAGGATATGGTCTCATTCAAGTCGACCCTATGATCATCACCATGGCTCATCTTCCATGGATCAAACCATTTAGGGATGAGGAACCAGCCGGAGTCGGTCAAGCTGAACCCAGGATGAGTGTTCTCCTGCATGTAGTAGCCGAGGCTGCCTTGCTGCAAGATGACCGACTCGTTGTCGAGGAGGAATAAGAGGCCCTGATTCATTTGCTGGAAACTAGTGTTCCAGGTGTAGCTAGTGTTCCGGACATGGTTGGAGCTGCTGGAACATGTGCATGGTTTGGCATGGGAGCATATGGTTATCACCAGGATGGTGAAGAACCATTGGACAGCAGGGCGCAATATAAGCTTGCAGTTAACCTGACAACAGGCCATCCTATTTTTGCTATACTACGACGCACTTCGATACAATACAATTAACGTTCCTTGCTTTAATTTATAGTAAGGCCACCAATCTTGTTGACATGGACACACGACTTGGTCAGTCAAGTACTCATCAAGGTGGATCAGGTCGCTCCAGAGGTACGTTGCTGTGCTCTGAAGTTGGTCGCCGTCATGGACTTGCTCAAGGAGCGAGGGCCAAGTTTTTTTTCTTTCTGTGCCGTGGGTTTCCTTGGGTCATGGATGTTGACCTCAGCACTGGCAGCGACGTAGCCATAAATTAATGACAAAAGGTTGACGCTAGGGTGGTGTCTGTAATTTCTGTGTAAACTGCAAATTGGACTTGACCATTGTGCTCTCCTCGTCAAGGAGATCAAAAGGTACATGTAAAATGCCTAAGTTAGAGCCTAGACGAGAGAATTATGGTTTTGGAAAGTTCCACACGTATGTGAACCGGCCAAGCCAATTTTCCAAAATGGCAGCCTAAAATTGAGTTGGAGTTACATTTTGATATGGATTTTGTAAGGGCTTCAACCCTTTTTATATTAGGTGATATAAGTCCACCCCGCCCAATAAATATAAAGGGCCACAACTGATTGAGCGTGTACAATTGCATCAAATGAGACTATGTTTTATCTTTTTACCTTTTATTTATGCCTTTTTATCCCTTAAATCTTACGTTGAAAACCTCTTGTGTGTTGATCTTCTCTCGTCTCCATGGTACGAGAAGGTGCCCTAGCTGGTATATCAAGCCTAGGGCACACCAATATGCGCTTGCCCTGACAGGTCCCTCTCGGATGAGCGTTTGGTGGGCTGACAGATGATCCAATCTATCAAAACAGACCAAGTCGATCTTCGCAAAGGCTGTGGAAGGAACCCTTTGCGAGTGCATGCAGATGTGCACGAGTAATGGCATATTCTAGCGTCAACAATACCTATATCCGCTGAAACATTAATATGGATATCCGTAGCCTTATGGGATTCTAATATAAATGCTAAAAAATGATGTAGATCTCATTGAGTTGTACAATTTTGATATAGAGTTCGCCTTCATTGGACTTCATATACAAAAGTTATCAAACTTTTTAGGGACAACTATTTATAGAAGCAGGCATCTTCAGACGTCCACTTCTATTAATCGATTTAGAGAGGCGACAGACCTAAGAGGTCAGCCCCTGTTAATAGCCATTTTCAAAGATGGAACTCTTAAGAGGCCAATTTCTAAAAATTAATTACCAGAGGTGACACCGTTCAGAGGCCTGCATTTGTAGTGGTAATTTTTATAGGTGGTGTTCTTAAGAGACCTTGCTATAAAAATTCATTTACGGAGATGATTGGTTTCTAGGTTGTCTTTGTAAATGGACTGGCCGCCTTTAATTTGAAAACCATAGGTATTTTTGGAGGTTGTGACATTTTTTTACTGCTTCTGTAAATAAATAGGGATTATCTTATAAAAATGGTTTGGTGTGGGATCGAGCATATGATTAGGGGGATACTGAAGAACCGTTGGACAAGGGCAGTTGAGGCTTGTTAACCTGAGAGGCCATCCAAGTTCAAACAACTATATGTAGCATATACTACAGACCATGTTCCAATCCTTGTTTTATATTTCTGCAAAAGAAAAATGTTTATTGGTCTCTATATAAGATCACCAATCTTATTGCGCAAATGCTTGTTTCTGCATGCGCACGGTGCTTCAGCATGCACACACTATAAAACGGAAGAAAATTAGATGGACCCTGGGTCTAAACTCCCTTGCGTGCGCCCATAGCTTGGATGTATGACGCGTGGTGCCGGCCACCGCTCGAGGAGAGGTTGCTCTTCCACACTACTAGCCGCCTCCCGCACGGATGGCTCTCTTGTCCGCGGTTCCTGCTGCAAGTGGGCTCAGCCCCTTTCTTCTCGCTGAAGTAGGGCTCCTGCGCCAAGTCGAGCAGTCACGGTGGACAGCGAGGGTGCCCAGGTAGAGGCTCAGGCGATAGCACCGGCACCGGCACCGGCGACGGCTTAGGTCAACAGATCGGCGCAAGTAGAAGAGGGGGCCCGGGGAAGGAGCTCTGGCATCGGCGAAATGCTGGCATAGGCCGTGCCGTGTGCAGGTAGAGGCGGATGGAGAGGACGCTCTTCCCCGGATACGGCGGGTACATGTGGCGCGGACCTCGGGTACAGGCGATGGGAAGGACAGGCCAAGCGGATTTGGAGCTGAGCCGTCTGCTGATTTGGCTTCAGTTGAGATGTCGTGTACAGCCAGGGGCGGAGGACCATCATGGCAAGGTATGTCTACCACGTATACCTTTTACTACTTGTTTTTGTTTCAATTTCTATTTTTCTACTTATGGAAAAGGTCTCTAAACTGTCAAAACAAGACATCAGTAGGCCTTGTCAATAGTGCACACGGCATAAAGCGTCTCTCCAGTACATCTAACTACGGCCGTTGGCACATGGAATCGTGGCATGCTTTGATCCGCCACACCTCAAGTTTAATATGTCCTCTGCCACTGTGTACAGCTGCCGTCCAATGGAGGAAGAGAAGAAAACGTGCGGACTGAGCTGACTCTACATGCGCAGGCACGAGGTAGTCATACTATTTTTTTCTTTTTGAATTTTGATACAAAATGGTTCAGACGAAACGACTGGGTCAACGAACACAACGACCGCAAGTGCATCCTAATCAATCCAGTGGGCCAGGCCCCTGCCCTGCTCTTCTTCGGTCGCAGTTCCTTGACGTCAGCAATGACACAACTCCATGTTGACCGTTGACGTATGTAGTAAAGTTCTCTATATGGTGCAGACAGCAGATATACTATATATAGGGTTCTCGAATATCGTCAATTGACATCGGTTGCTAGCGACTGCACTGCATTTTCTTTCAATGACGAACCCTACTACGTCAATGCGTGACTGGTTGTCTGGTTGGGCCGCGTGCAAGCGTTTTACCGGGCCCATTAAAAATGTCTCGGGTCTAACTAGCTTTTAATGCTAATAACTTGGTCCACAAGTTTGATTTATCCATCGTATCCATTGAAAATTCAATTCTATCGCAAGTTTTGGTTTTGTCCAAATCCAAAGATATATATGACACACAGACACATGTGATGTGATGTGAAGACACCTCAGCACCCACCTTAGTCATAGAGCAAATTTGTCACCTGAGCCACGATAGTGGTTTACGTTTTTTGCATCCGTGTCGTGGCAGAGTCTGGATCTAGGCCTTCCTCACACAGATCTGGGCCCTCGGAAGCGGGGCTAAGTTTTAAGTACTGTCGGTACTGCTAGGGCTGCGGGATGAGACATGAGATGGATGGCGTGGCATATATGTCCTTCGGTTGGTCGATGTCTAGGGTAGCGTAGAGAAGAGCTTTTTGATCCCGAACGATGGTGAGTGCACCGCTCTAGACATCACTCTCGATCGAGGGGGGTCCATGCCAAGATATATGAGGGGGGGGGGAGAGAGAGAGAGAGAGAGAGAGAGGGGTGAGACTCGGTCTGTGTGTGACTCATGGAGTCTTTCACTATCATCGTGTGGGAATCCTAACAAGTGTGTTCATGTGCATGGCCTGTGTGGCCTGGTGTTGTGCGAGAGGGATCACAAGAAAGAGAAGCAAGAGAAATAAAAAGGAGAGGAGGTGGTTAGAGGATGGTGGCGAGAACAAGGTTGGTGTGGCTGGCTCCCAGCTGGAACGAGGTTGGTGTGGCCGGCTCCCAAAACTTGCTGGAATGGTTCCACGTGGAGCGTGCGAGGGCATCCATGCTTGACTCGCGCGACTTTGGGGATGTGAAACGGTGAGTTCTAATCGTGGCTTCAGGTGACAGTACGAAAAGAAGGGTACACTACCCCACAACTTGTAATGACTGTCGGTTCTAAACCGGCTTTCACTACTAGATTTTGAACTGGTAGTGTTAGCCTTAGTGTTTTGCTACACTACCATTTGCTTACCCAGTAGTGATGCCTATTTTCACAAAGCAAAAAGAAAAGATAAACACAAAAGACTGAAAAACACCCAACCCCTTCCGCCACATTGGTGCTGGGTTTGCTACCCATGCCCTGTCGGTGCCACCGCTACTTGGAGGGAGTAGCGACCGCTGGGGCTAGGTCTGCGTCGGTGCCGTTGGATCATGCTCACACCGGAGCCAAGGAGAGGAGGAGAGCAATGGGAAGGCTTGGAGGGAGGAGAGTTTGAACAAGATCTAGGAGGGGAGAGAGGAGATATGACAAGGGAGAGTAAGAAAGGGGAGACAGATAAGGATAAGGATGTAGACCTGAAGGGAAGGCAGAGTTAATCGCACTGAAAAAAGGAAACTCTCACCTCTGGCTGGTAATACTACTAGGACGTATTACCAACAGGTAGTGATAAGCTTTTTTCTTATGAACCGGTAGTGATTGTCTATATATCACTATCAGTTTTATATTATCTAATAGTGATGGATTGACGTGGATTGTGATTTGTGTAGATAGTGGTCAACGACACACATTAATTGGAAATTTAATAGGGAAAGAGAAGTGGTTTAATATAGGATTAAGGATTTTGTTCAGTGGGTTTACTTTTGATAGAGGCAACTCATTTTATAAATAAATAACTTAAATGTTTTGAAAGTTTTTTATTTAGATTGTTGATGAAAAGGACCAAAATAAATAGAAGATATATTTGAGCACCACTTGCTCTAGGTTTTAAATAAACAAATCTTTTAAAAGGGTTTCGTTTCGCAAAAAAACTATACAAGCAATTTTTGTGAAGAAAATTTTACAAAATGTTTTCTCAAATTCGAAATCCAAATATTTGGAAATATTTATTTATTTAAAATGATATCCAAATATTTTCAATAAAATATTATATGCAAAAATGACTTTATTAGTTGAGAGAGGAGAATGGAACTTTTCTTTATTTTTTTTTAGCAGAGAAGCTTTTCTTTAAATAATAAAGGAGAGTGGAACGTGGAGAAAAGTTGAAGGTGCAAGGACGTTTTCCAATAACCGGGAATTCGACGAGACGGAT